CCCCAAAACCCCAAAACCCCAAAACCCCACCAGTATTAATTTTGTGAATTTCAATAAGTGAGATAATTATAAAGATATAAAACAAAAATGACTGAAAAAAAGAAAGCTTCTCAACATATCGACGAAGAGGACCCTTAGGCCAAGACTAAATAAACAGCCTATGAGAGATTTCTGCATGAAAATAAAAAGCCATGGCTATTTTTTAATCTTTTCACAACTCTCGGTTCGATTGGATTGGCAGTCGGAACATTTTTAGTTCTTAATACTCAAGTAGATGATTGCAAAGGATTGAAAACAGCCCTATGGTTGGTATTCGCTATGCACATAGTAAACACAATTGAAACTATAATCAATTTATTCTCCTTAGAAAAGAGATTGTGCAATGGTTATATGATTTGTGGCTTCTTTATCTTTGAAATTATTGTGCTTTCATACATGCAAGTAGTTTATTTTGAGGCTTAATAGGAAGACTACTGCATGACTAGAACACCCTTAATGTACTTCTGGATGATGGGTTAAATTCTAGTATTCTACTTTGTGGTTGTACTAACAATTTGCTTCTTCTTTAGAAAATTCTGTCAAGATCCAAATCTTAAAGATGATGAAGATGACGATTTCGTAGCCACTAAGCAATGAGCTAATGATATAAGATCTAAGTTTAGGGAAAGAAACTGATTAGTGAAATTTTAATAAAGATTAAAGATTATTGTTAATAGATAAATAAATTATATAATCATCATCTTAATATGTTAAAAGCTATACTTTCAAAGCATAGAGATCTGAGTGGAGCAGCTTAGAAACAGAATTCTACTTTCAATTAAGATTTTAATAATTCATATGAAAGTGTTGGTAGCCAGGTAATACCTGAGGTGGGACATTCCAGGTAAAATCACTCTCAGGAGCCTGGAGCAAATGGTGCAGGCCTTAATTAGTGTAATTTTTATCCTTAAGATGAATTCATAACTTATTATGAAAATATAGTAAAATCGAAACTATTGAAAGCAACCTAATTTCTAAAGATAATAGATAACACAGTTCAGGAGGCAAGAGCAGAGACTAAGGGCTCTTTGAATAAAATGCTGATCACAGAGAATTCAATAAGAGCTCATATTAATAAAACCATGCGAAAGTTGAAAGTAGAGCATCCATTATCAAGACAGCAGTTAATAGAAATTTGCGTACAACTCAATTTACATATATCATATCTCCAAGCGACTGAAGCTATATTGTACTATTGAGGTAAAGAACTTGAGTAATCTGAGAATTATGATTAAGACAAGTTAATAAAGTGGTTTATGGAGAATATTAGACATATGAGGCATATAAAGGCTGAGAATAGTGAGGAGAGATAAAACTAGAACAGTTTTAGCCCTAATAAAACTATGTCAAATATAATTATGAATAAGGCTTTGAAAGATAACATTTTATAGAGAGCATCAATAAGTGGGTATAAGAACGTCCGAAGATCTACCAAATTGAATAAACTCAATGATATGTTAAGAGAATCTGCGGATCAAGTGCTACCAAGTTTGAAGTAAAATCTAAATTAGTCAAGAGATTAGCCTTTAAAAAATCTTTAATAATCTACTGCTAACTCATCAAACATTAGAACAGCAAACATCACCTAGTCCTCATTTAATTTCATGACAAGAAATCGGCAAGTAATCTCATAAGGTAGATCAGCTAATAATAATAATAATAATAGGTATTTTGAAACTAACAATAATTAAAGTACTACTAATAGAACTAAAGTCAGCCTAGAATATGATAAAGAATTTTAATAAGACATATAAAATTGTATCAAGAAGTTGAAGCGAATGCCATCATTGAAGAAAAAGATGTACTAAAGAATCGAGGAAATAAGTTAATAAATGACAGAAAATTAGGGTTAATTGGGCTTTTAAGCTGGAATGCAGGCGAGAAAAAGACTGAGGGATCGCTAAAGGGAGTAAGAATAAAAGGAAGAAAGAGATCTTAACAAACTGATTGAAGAAACTGCTAAGACTAATGCCTTACAGGCAATAAATCTAAATAATTTATTAAGAAAAAAATGGAATGAGCAAAATCAATCCTATGTAGTCATGTCTAAGATTGATAATGATAAAAAAATCAAAAAGATTAGAGACTACTGTTTCAATAGATACATTCTATGAAACTATATATGTTTATGATCATAAATTTTTACCAATAATTATCAACCTATCAAAATTCTTGAATTTAAAAACTATGGGGTTTTGGGGTTTTGGGGTTTTTGGGG